TCGGGTAAATCGAATGAGCAAGTTCAATGCTATGTCGTTAGAACCTGACAGGTTCCACCTGACCCCGATTTCTCCATGTAAGTTCCGTTGTCAAAAAACCCACTAAGACTACCAATCTGCCACCTTGGTTTTTAAAGTTACAAAAATTCTCATCAGAGAATTCAGAAGGACAGTTGGCTTTCAATAAATTCTCATGGGAACGGGGTACAGGTTAAGCATGCGCTCGATAATGTTCGTCTTATCATGCAAGTGAGTCCTGGGAATAGGGGAGAGAGAATGCAGTTAAGCGACCATTGGCCATGCCAGGAGCGTAGGTAGCAAAAGATTCTTTTGTGCACAAGAGACCGGCTTCTTCAACATTATAGCGGCCGCTTCTGCTGTTGCTAGCAGAAGCTGACCCAGGGACCGTGGGTATTTTGGTGGGACCTTGTAAATCACCTGGAAGGTTTTGTCGGGTTTTTATCGAAATTGGCCTGTGATCGAAGCCTAGAACAAACACTTTGCACAGCTAGACTTATTCAATGATGTTGAAGAGCGTTTATTACTGGAGGGATGGACAAACACCATTCGACAGAATTAATCTCTTTGGAACTATCTCTACAAACTTGCCTACAGGATTTGGGGCAAAAATATGGAACATTTTTGCCTTGGTATGAATTTAAGGCAAGCAAGTGATTAAGGATTGATTTGAATCCAACAAATTGCGTGACTCCTCGCTGCTTAACATAAATAACAAATGAGAGAGAAGGAAGCAGGGAGGGTAGCATCCAACATTTTCAGCAAAAGGGGCTTCATTTACTGAGGCCACAGGATAAATTCAAAAAATACTCAAAAATATAGAGGTTTACGAAAAAAATACACATCCGTTATGGAGACAAGTTCATCCTCAGCTTTTGGATTTACGCCTCGTTACAATTGAGACACCTTGCTAGGATTGGTAGTACAGAATGCTGATATGCCGATTTGTGACAGGACAGAGTGGAGTGGATGGGCAACCTCACTAAGAATGCGATTGAAAATTGATTTATCTTGTAAATTCTCACTGTATGATAATATCAGCTAAAATGAATAATGCCCTACGCTAACTTGGTTTTATTTTTTGGCCCTACTTCCCCTCCCCTTCGTTCTCTTCTTCAGCACCAGAGCTGACAGTACGTGGGAGCCCCACCGAACCCAGTCCTGTCTTCCTTCGCTACGAGGAGGGTCTGCCGGTGGAACGCGTTGTAATCCCCTGTCAGCATGGCCAACCCCTTGGCTTTTCAGTTTGTGGCGGCAGCGATGTTTCCTGTTTTCCCTTCTCTGCCGCCTCTAGCGGCATTTTCATCTCTCGTGTAAGTGGCTCACCTTATTAACGCCTTATTTGAGTGCTCTTGTTGCCATTTTTAGTTTAACTTTCTATTGATTGCTCAGTTTGTTCTCGTTCGTTTGGACTTGAATAGTGAACTCCACCCTACCACCTAACGTTTCATACAACCTCAAATTTCAATCCAGACGATTTGGCACCTGTCAGATAGCGAGCTTAAATATGTCAAAACACTATTCGCTATTATGAGAAGAAGACTTTCTTTGGGAAATATTCAGTTTTATTGCGTGAATTTTCGACACGGACCAAC